TTGCAGGATGAGATCCACCGACTGAAGGCTGTAGCACTTGTTATACCCGACTAGGGGTAACAAGTTATGCGCCCATGAATACAGGCCAACAGATAAATCACCTTCAGAGGCCTGTCCACAATTTTATGCTTCAAAAAACTTGCACAAATTAATTAAAAATTTGGAAAAAAATTTCACACTACTTGAGCCATTAACCAAACTGTAACCGGAAGCTTGTCCTGTCCTTGAAACATAATTCTCTCCCTCAGCATCGGCAATAGAGTGGTCAAAACATCAGGTTTAGTACGCAATACCATTGCTAATGCAACAAATGCTGCCACCTAATCATAAAACAATGACAACATAATGGAATTAGTCAAACAAAGGTAACTGGATAGATAGATACACCATTCAATCACACATGTATAGGTGAAAGGGATAAGATTGATGTCTCTCCAGAATTACCCCAAAAGTATGTTGTTCGCGGATAATACGTTCAATTGCCCAAATGACTGAGGTCCCCAAATGGATGCTGTTTGATCCAATTGACTGATGCTTTATAGATAGGTTGAGGAATATCAGATAATGGAACCTGTTAAATTATAACAAGACAAACTCAGCTTCAAGAATAATCTACCCTAGACGACTTATTACTAACGAAAACTTAAAATAAGTAAAAAAATCACATCGATCAGCATAGACAAAGGAGTCTCCTCGAACAACTCCACCCATGGAAACGATACTTGGGAAAGTGCTTTGTTAAAGTAAGTGTAAAACCCAAGTAGGCCAATGCCGTGCCAATGCTATGAACAAAACAAGTCGAATTTCACAGTGCATGCACTTACCGGTTTGGCAAAGAAATCCGCAAGATGCGAAGGATCGATCTTCGCAGCAGCTTCGGCCAAAGCCGATATCCGCTTCAGCTTCTTGCCAGATAAGCCGTCACTCTCCCCCAGCTCCGCCGGTTTTCGCTTCCGGTTGCGCTTCCGGCTCGAGTCAGGGGAGTTACTGGTACATGGTTTTAAGCCACCAAACTCCATGGATTTGACTTTCTCGCTTTTTTTTTTTTTTTCCCCTAGAAGTAATTCTCTCTCCGGCGGCTAGGTTTAATCAACAAACGTTTTGTTTCGATAAGTATGTGCATATAAAAAAACACTTATCGGGCTTTAGAGTCCCTTGATCAAAGGCCCATGCAAGCTTTAGTGGGCTTCTACTGAAAAGCATAAAATATTTGACATATGTTTGGGGTTGAGACTGATTTACGATGAATGTAATTATAATTAATATTAGAGATATTTAAAAGATTTTGTTAAAATTCAAAATAATGATTCAGTTATTTGTTTGAACCGTTTAATTAGATTATATATAATAAATTTTAATTTTTTAAAATTTTAA